AACTAACTAACTAACTAACTAACTAACTAACTAACTAACTAACTAACTAACTAACTAACTAACTAACTAACTAACTACTAACTACTAACTAACTAACTAACTAACTAACTAACTAACTAACTAACTAACTAACTAACTAACTAACTAACTAACTACTAACTAACTAACTAACTAACTACTAACTAACTAACTAACTAACTAACTAACTAACTAACTAACTAACTAACTAACTAACTAACTAACTAACTAACTAACTAACTAACTAACTAACTACTAACTAACTAACTAACTAACTAACTAACTAACTAACTAACTAACTAACTAACTAACTAACTAACTAACTAACTACTAACTAACTAACTAACTAACTAACTAACTAACTAACTAACTAACTAACTAACTAACTAACTAACTAACTAACTAACTAACTAACTAACTAACTAACTAACTAACTAACAACTAACTAACTAATTAACTAACTAACTAACTAACTGAAACTAACTTATAGCAATCTTTATCACAGAATCGAAAATAAATCTAGAAATAGCTTCATATCTACACAAGTAGGAAAGTATAGTCGGGCATGGCCGACTATATAATACCCTACACTCTGAGTGTACTTTAAAAATTATTTATTTTTCATAAAGAAACTTTTATGTTGAATTTTACCTTAATTACGATGTATTTAAGCAATTTATTGATGAACATTTTTTTCTAAAACAGGCTTTATATGGGAATTATGGTCAAATATTGGCCGATCCTGAACAAATGGACAGCCAGTCAGCCGGACGGACGGACATGTCTTAATTGACTCGATCGGTATACTTGAAGGTGTGTGTATAACCAATAATTTTGTGCGTTACAAACATCAGCACAAACGCATAATACCTTCCCCACTATAGTTGTGTAGGGCATACAAATCAATACCTCCTATCGACTAATAGCATACTTCAAACTTGTCAAATATTTAAATAAACATCGTCTTCATTTCGAAAATAAAATCCACATTGAGGCATCCCAACGATCAGTCGTACCTCCACAACACAAATGAGCAGCATACAGCAAATGAATGATGATGACGATTTTTTCTGAGAGTGATGCCTTAACATGACTTCTGTTGTTGTTATTTGTATTATAAGTATTATTTAGTTGTTGTTTTCGTATACGTTTTATTGACTAAGTATTCGGTTGGCAAAAGTTTTTGTTTTTGATTTAAGAAAAAAAACAAACACTAAACTTGCGATCATTAAGTTTTTAGTCTTATTGCAAACGTTGAACGGAGCGGTTCGTTGTTTTTTTTTTAATCGTAAAAGCAAACTCGGTCGAATATATTTAAATATTAAACAATTTATATGAATCACTTATAAATTTTGTTAAATATTATATAAAACAAAATATTTATTTATTTATAAAAAAATATATAATAAAATGAAATTATTAATTAAAATTAAACACCTCTTTGTAGAGGTTTTACTAATAATTTTATTGATCAATTTGACAAGCTGTCATATGCAAGAGGCGTCTACCACAGCGCCCGCCACCCAGACACACTGGCAAAGACCAGTGCAGCACACAACGCGCAATACGGTAACGCGTTGGAAAGTGGTAGGTTTTTTGAATAATTAGAAAAACGTTAAACATAAAAGTGTAATAAAATAACAACAAAGTATTACAAAACGTGCATTATTAAGAGTTCAATGTTCTTTGGCTGAAAGCTTTGTTGGTGAAGTGAAGTGTTAATTAAATAAAAAAATTCTTTTAAAACAAGTTACACAGAAAAAAATAACTACGTCATGTTTAAAAAATGTTTTGAAAAATGAAGAAATTAAAAAAATAATAAAAATTTTTAAATAAAAAAGAAATATATATAAAAAACTGTTATTTTTTTATATAATATTAAAATTTAAATAAAAAAGTAATAAAAATAAAATTTAACAAATAAATATTCTTTGTTCTTTAAATTTAAAAAATAATGAAGAACACATATAAAAATTGCTAAAAATGTGTTTTTTCTCCATGGATCTTTTTTTTTGTGATATTTTAGTGATTTTAATCTAAATCGCATTTCATGTTAAACAAGTCTTTTAAGACAGTTTTTTTTTTTTTAATTTACGCATGTGAAGCCAAAAACACCTAAATGATCTTGAAAAATAAACCAAAACAAATTTATAGAAAAAATTCAGACAAGTTTAACCACTTTATAGATAAGAATTCGATTTTTTTAGTTGTTTTTGTAAAAGAACTGTGTTTTTCTTTAATTCAAGTTTACAAATCAAGCTTAAATTAAAAATTAAAAAAAAAAAAATCCTAAATAAATAAAAAAATGTGTTTGTCTCTGTATTGTATTCTTCTTTTAGAATCAAACTCCTTCAACATCGTCTGTCTCAACATCCCATAACTGTGATTATAAAGAATTAATAACGAATTTACATGATCGCATTAGCTTATTGGCCACCGTGGATGAGGATTTACGCAAACGATTGGATAATATTGAAAAGAAGTGAGTCACAATTTTTGTTTTTTTAAATTTGTGTTGAGTTTACAATTCAATTAATTTACATATATAAAAAATTTTACTCGTTATGTTGATTGAATATTAATTAGTTGTCACCTATTGAAGAACTAAATAATAGTTGCAACTATTTTAAAAGTTAATAAAATATTGGTTTAATGATATTGAAAAATAATAAAAATTAAAGCTATAGGTTACTGTGGAACAAAATGCAAAAAGTTTTTGAGACTAGTTAATGGAAAACATTTAGTGATATAGATATAGTTGTTTGGGGGCTAGCTGAAATAATAGACCGATCTTAACCATTTTCAATAGGCTTTGTCCCTTGGGTATTAGAAGATCACGTACCAAATTTCATTGAATTATCTTCAAAATTGCAACCTGTAGTTTGATTACAAGGTTTACATGGACAGACGGACATAGCTAAATCTGAACAAGAAGGAAATTATAGTCGGGCGAGGCCGACCATATAATACCCTACAACTGTTACAAAAATAAAATGTGATTTAATTTTCATAATAAAGCATTTAAGTTGAATTGTACCTTGTCTTGAATTGTACTTAAGCCATTTATTGTTCAATAAAATTGTGGACATTTAAGTCAGGGGGCTTTAGATATGGGCTATAGTCAAATGAGACCCTATAATTATGAAATTCATTAGGGTCATCAAGGCTAGAACTTAGTTTTGCTGCTTTTTGTCCAGATACGAGTATATTAAACATAATTAGGCCTATTCGGCGGGTTCAGTTCTATGGGGACTAGGTGAAATAATTACCGATGTTAACCATTATCAATAGGCTTCATCTCTGCTACAATAGAAGATCATGTGCCAAATTTCATTGTGACTTGTAGTTTGATTACAAGGTTTACAAGCCCTATTCGGGGGTTCAGTTATATGGGGGCTAGGTGAAATAATAGACCGATCTTAACCATTTTTAATAGGCTTCGTTCCTAGATCATGTACCAAATTATCTTTAAAATTACGACCTGTAGTTTGATTACAAAGTTTACACGGACGGCGGACAGACAGACAGACAGACGGTCGGTCAATGCTAAATCGACCCAGAAAGCCGATTGGTATACTTTGAGGTTGGTATAGGACCAATATTATTGTACGTTACAAACATCAGCACAAACCCCTACCCACTAAAGTGGTGTAGGATATAACAAGTATAAATGTATAGTGGCCGTGCATAGCCGACCATATGATACCTTACACCATTAAGTATGTTAAAAATGTAGATTATTGTTTTAATAATAAAGCATTCAAATAGTTTTTTAGCTTAATTCCGGAATATTTTTACTTTTTGTTGACAAAAAATGAAATTTTCTACAAGAGGGCTTTTATGGGGGTAAGCGTAAATAGGATATAAACCCATCCTTATAAATTTTGGTAGAGGACTTTACGTCTCCATTAAAGTTATTTATGCAAAATTTCATAGTGTTATTAGTGTTTATAAGTTAATTTTGACCTTCAAGTCATTTTCAGAAGGAGAGTCATAATTACGAAAAAACGGGAGTGTTATTTAGACTCATATAAAACTGAGTTTTGCCGATTTTTGTTGAGATACTAGAACATTTAATATAATTATGAGCACAATAGCCCTATTCGGTGGGTATGGTTTGTATGGATGGTAGACGAAATAATGAACCGATTTTAACAATTTTCAATAGGCTTCCTCATTGGCCGGCCAAATTTCATCAAATTATCTTAAAAATTGCTACCAGTAGCGTGCGCACAAGGTTTACATGGACACACAGACAGACATTGCTAAATCTACTCAGAAAGTGATATTGAGTCGATTTATTCATGTCCGATATCATTATTTATCAATAAAATATCTGATTTTTAGAAAAATATCTTATATGTATGTCACATATGACCATATGAACCTTTCGGGAAAAAATATTGTAGAAATTTGTATTTCTGTCAAATTTTATTTCGAGATTGGAGCCATATAGTAGGGATATAGGCGAAACTGAAGGGGTTGTCAAACAAAATTTGTTATTCTCTTCACACAGACGAGTTCTGAGAGAATAAAACACCCTTGAGAGAACTAAACGTACTCACAAAACATCAAATTTTCTTCGCGAAATTGCGAGGATATTAGCACTTAAGAGTTTTACTTATCACTTAAACTTAATATTTATTATTTTTTGCCACACTTTTAATGCATTTAAAAATCCGAAAATAATTTATATTTTACAAATGAAAATAAAATATTTTTTATTCTTTGACATTTTATTTTATATAAAACTGAAAAAAGAAAAGTTGTAAATTTTCGTATTGAAAATGAAAAAAGTATTTCACATACTTTTTTGTGAAATTTGTGCGTTCCAGGGAAGTAGGCCTTATATGGTAGCTATGACCAATTATGGGATATATGATATACATACATATACCCACTAAAAACTTTTATTACCATGTAAGGGGTTAAAATGCTAAAATTTACTTCCAAAATAGCATTTTAAGACATTTTTTTAACACGGTGATATCACTGGAGGCAAGTACTTACCTAAAATGATTACAAGTAATTAGAAAAAGTTGTCATTGTAAATCGAATGAAAAAAACGTATAAGCTTCTATATCTTCACTGGCAAGATGGCTAATGAATTAGAAAGTTTTTATATAACACATTATTAGCAAGACCTTATCAGACTACTTCTATGTAATCCAGAAGATATGTAGTAGTCATTGAAAAGTATGTTGTTAGGTAAGTAATTACAATTAAAAGCCATTACATAGTTTTTGCTGGGTATCATTATTTCTTAATTAGTTATAAGCATTGAAATGGACCGATCGATATAGATTAACAATGGTAATATGATTTCTGTTCATATTATATACATACATACGTATTTGTAAAATTTTGTGTGGATATCGATATTTTTGAGGAAGTTATAAACGATAAATCAATTTCCGGGAATTTGTATTTCTATGAGAGCTATAGGAATTTGTGAATCGATTTTTTAAATTTTCAACATAATTGGGCGAAAAAATAACGTTAAAACTCATAGAATTATCTTTGGTAGTTTCTGAAAAAACTACCAAAGTAGTCTGAAATTTGCATTTATAACTTTTTACATTGTGAACTGATTTTGTTGATTTTCAATACCACACTGCTTAAAACAATAATGAATATTTTCGGAAAATTTGTCGGATTCCTTTAGCGTGGCCTGTTTTAGGCTGAGAGACAGACGGACATGAATAAATCTGCTCAGAATTTCAGATTTGGACAATTTTTATTTAAGGAAAGAAACAAAATCTTAGTATTCAATATAAGAGTAACATTTCCAACAAATAAAAATATTTTGTAAAAAAAGATTTAATTTTTTTAACCTACAAAATGTTTTAGATTTTCAGACTACAATGCATTTTCAAAAAATATTTTGTATTAATAAAAAATCACATAAAGTACCTTTAAAGCAAACAATAACTTAAAACTATTAAATAATAATATGTCTTACTTCTTTTCCCGCAATTTTGTTTTAAGAAAAAATAAAAAAAACACCCAAAATGACATTTAAAATTTCGCTTTTTATTTGTTTTCAAGCAGCTCACACATTGTTCACAAACTAAATTTCACATCTCTTTTGCAATTTATTTATGTCTAAAATACCCTACGACAAGTTTTTATTCCCGCCGTCAGAAGAGCAGCATAGAATAATTTATTGGACGTAGATCTAGAAATCTATTTTTCTATGTATATTCTGGTTCCTTATTAAATTCTAAAACTATTCATATGTCTGACCGTGTGTAGTAGTTGTAGACACGATAGCTCATAAACGAAAAGATCTAGCATTATTAAATTTTCGACGAGTATTTTATATCGGAAGACTTTGTGTTTGACTTTGTTCCCCATTCGTGATAGAATTCTGTATAACTGCGCCCTAAAATTATATTGTAAATATGGTGAACATCGGTCCATATTTGACTCTTCCCACAAAAATGTTGTTATGATGAATGTTCCCACAACATCTTCTCATTCTTATCAGGGAAAAAAGGTGCTACCAGTACCTCTTCTCTGTCGGGACTATAAACTGGTGGTGTTAAATGTATCTTCGGAATTATCTTGGAATGATTTGACTTGGGGTCGAACCAGAGCACTTATTATATCTGGTACAACAAGAAGCGCTAGAGCACACGGCAGAATTGCGGACTTAATCTTGTACCGGTCCCTTTGGGGTGCATGTGAGAATGTAGGTAAAAAGACTGATACACCTTAAAATCGATCTTTCTCAATAAATTCGATGCTGGTTCCGAGAAAGACAACAGATACCCCTCAGAGAAGTGACTGTGGGACTGGCTAAGCGTTGGCAGTGGGTTGGTGTCAAATGAATAAGAAACAGAATGAATGAAAGGGCCTCGTCCACTTGTATATCTACAATTAATCTGACGGATGTTTCGATGTTGTCGGACCAAAAGACTCTGTCTTCTGAACTTTATAGTGAAAACAATCAGTTTTTTGGTTTCGAAAATGAAGTATTACTTTATTATTTCAATTTGAAAGTGACGCAAACGTACATTACATGCAAGAGACGGTTTATTCAATTCAGAAGTGATCGCCCTGGGCATCGAAAACGGTTTTAAAAGAATTGGAGGAATTACTTCATAAAATTTTGCAAAATAATTTTTGCATCGAATCATTACTTTGCGATGGAAAATTAATCCATTACGATAATCGAAAGCGTAAAAATGGTCGTAACTTCTTTGAGATTTATGGCAACACCATCACAGGTACCGAACCTGAGGCGTTTGAGGCGAGTTTTGGCCAAAAAAAAAAAAAAAAAAAATTGCCATAATATGTGGCAGGCGAGAAAGCAATAACTCCACCGCTCAACGGCAAAATCTGTTTGAAACTATTTGGGAAGTCTTACCTTATTCAGAAAGAATGAAAAAGCTCATAGCAAGGAGTGGACAATATTTTGAATATATCCATATTGTAAAAGTGTTTCAAAATAAAAAGTCTATATTCGCCTTTGACGAA